CACCCATTGCTGTTCTAGCAAGACGAAGCTCAACGCTCGCAGCAGTACGACGCCGAACTCATTGGAGGCCGACGATGTTATGAGTCCTTTTTTGTGGACCAAGTTATTTCTGGAGGCTCAAGTGTTGATGTTCAGGAGAAAATCCTTTATCAAGACAACAAGAGTGCTATCATTCTCGCTGAGAATGGTAAGAGCAGCGCCGGTAAGCGTACTCGTGCTCTTAATGTGCTTTTCTTCTTTATTCACACCAAGTGAAGCAGGGAAATGTACGAGTGGTGTATTGTCCCACACAGGACATGCACGGGGACTTTCTCCGAAGCCCCTTCAAGGTGCCTATTCCATGCGCATCGCGCTTTTATTATGGGGCATCCTCCCATTTAGTTTAGTTTTAATCGTTCCGTGGATCCATTAGGGACCACGGCAGGAGTGTGTTGGCCGGTCTAGATATTTAGCGGACCGGATAAGAAAAAGACCGCACCACCGTAGGAATTTAAGGAAACTGGCATTCTCAGATCCAGACTTCAAAGCGACCAGCCAGAAAGATCATCACTTTTTCTTCACAGCTCGCCCAAATCAACAAATTAACCTTGATATTACTAGTAGCTGCAGTGTTATTAGACCCAACAGTAGCTTAGAAGCAGATACCTCTAGTGCTTAGCTAGTGCTTAGCTTGTGCTTAGCTAGCTAGAAGTAGATCCCCCCTAGCTAGAAGTAGATTCCCATAGCAAGCTAGAAGCAGATACCCCTAGCTAGCTAGAATCCTAGTTATATAGCGTTCGCTGGCTTTAGAGTTTTTCCTGGTAGAAGCAAATCCCCCTAGTAGGGTGCATGTAAATAGCTTTAGCTGATTTTTAAAAGCACCATCCTAGCTAGGATACCTATTTAGTTTTGCTGACTTGTTTGTATTCTAACCCTACCCTTATACCTGCAGGGACCACCGTAGCAGGAAATTTCTGGATAAGACCGCGACCAAGGCGATTTTCTAAGTTCGCGCTATTTCCAAGATCAAGTCACGAGAAACGGTCCCCACCCGTTCCTCCCGGAAATATGTAAATAATTGAAACGTCCCCACCTCCAGTCGTTATCCGGTAGTTTAGAAATTCTGATTCCACTCCCCAGCATGACGCGAATCAAAAAAATCCAGATCTTTGCCTCCCGCATAGCCTACCACCTCCGGTGTGCCATGCATGCTTCGCATGAATCCTGAAGTCAAACCTCCATCCAAAAGCTCATTATTTCCGAGCCCAAGAGACCGCCGAAAGCCCAACACCCCGTCGACCACCATGGTGCTTACACCGTTGGATTCGATCGATGTTAACTACTACGCATCCTCATCGAAATCCAACCAAGCGAAACACAATAGTACCGCCGCCTTAATCCAAACGTATCTCGACTCCCTCCAGGACAAGCTAAAGCTACCTCGAATCCAATACACCGACCTAGAAGAAACCGGAGGAGTCTCCTCGAATGAAAATGAGGACGTAACACGATGGTGGTTTGCGTTCTGGGACGGCCAACCCGCCTTCTGGTTCAGCCTCAAGAAAACCACAGGAGAAGACTACGCACTGGGAACTTTGGAAAGATACATGCCGGCGATCAAGAACCAGTTGATGAAAAAACTCATTCTGTCCCGATTCAATAAAGTCATCGAAGCCACCTACGCCTCAGCATTAAAAAAGATGAAGACAATGATCACCGACCGCAAGAAGATGTCACCCCTTCCCCCGAAGAAGAAAGTCTACACTGCTTCAGACATAGCATTCATCCTCCAACGGTGCCTCTGGTTCAACATGAAATCCTACATTGACTTCTACCTCTTCCAGACAGCTCTACTCAGACTTTGCAGCAGAGGAGCTGAGACATCAAGAATCGACGTACGAAGCCTATCCGTGAGAGAACTTCGTGAAGGATCCGTGAACCACGTCCTACAATGCTTCCTAGTTCGTGACAAACTAGGTGTTGACGATCACGACCCGTTGATTCCGAACAAACATGAACTCTTCGGAGACCCCGTTGTCGCGATAGGCCTTTCCCTATTCCTCCAAGGTGCTGACAGCACCCTCATGCCTTCCATCTCCGCCAAAGGACCAGCTGTCTCCAATTTCTATACAGGGATGTTAGAATCCATCTGGAAGAGATACCCGCCCATGGACAAGAATTCCGTCAGAAAAGGCACATCACATTTCGGGAAGCGCACGGCTCAACACCTACTCGACGGTCTCAAACTCCATGAAGCAGCCCAACTATTCGGTGGTTGGAAAGTCCTAGGCAAAGGAACGGCACGGGCGAGCTATTTTTCGAATCCGTTCCCTTACCTCTTAGATGGAGCAAAGGCACTTGCAGGATGGTCAAAGATCAGTCATGGCGACTATCAACCCGTCATCATCCCACGGATCCCAACAGACATTGGCGACAAGATCTGTTCAGTGTTCTTCGGACATATCCCAGAAGAAATGCTCTCAACCCAAGCAAAACGGATGATACTAGTATGCGTGTTATCCAAATGGGATCAACTGCTGGATCAAATTCGTGCGGAACCTAATGGATTATTCGAAGATCCAGGTAGCCACATCATCGTATCCACCCTCGTTGAACGCCTCTCTAAAGAAGGCATCGAACTTTCACAATTTGATGATTTTAAATCGGAATGTCACAAGCTATTCGATAAAACCAACGATGTCACAACAACGATCACTGTACCACAACCCTCAACTCCCGCGATCACTTTGACTCCCGCGGTGGAAACCCCAACTCCCGCGAAGCCACTCCCGGAATACTCCCAATCCCTATTCGAATCCCAGTTGAAAATTTACCCGCTACCAGCACTTCTCGATCAAGTCGGAAGGACCAATCCAGCCGCCTCCTTCATCAATTTTTTTGCGTTGAACTTCATGGAATCGAAGAGAAATTTCTTTGAGAAACACTCCGGTGATAAAAGACTCCTTGAGAAATACCGTTGCAGGTACAACAAAATCAAGTTCGCTGTCAGGATAATGGTCCGGTTCTCTGATAGATACCCAGGGACGAAAACCCCAACATTGCAAGAAGCTAAAGCAGTATTGCAACGAATCAAGACCGTGCTGTTGTTGGGGAAAGTGAAGACAAGGCACAAGACCTTTAACGCCGCCACACCACTCAGTTTCACAATGATCCGAGACCATGAGAAATTTTTGACGGATAAGACAAAGCCCTGGTATCGCCCGCTTCCACCCGACACACCATTCACCTTCATTTCGGAAGTATACAAATCGGGTAATTTAATCATCTAACTTCATCGAAGCCTACCACAAGATCTACCCGGTTTAAGTAAGCGCGCGCAGCCAATTAGATCGTCTACGCAGTTCCCGTCACACGCGAGCAACCTCCACTCCCCTTCATCGTAGAATCTGTCAAACACGTAATCCAATCCACTCTGGCCATAGAATGTTGCGATAAAACTGCATTTACCCACTCGCTTGCACGTCAGATCCGCCCAGTATGAATTGGACATTTCTTTCATTAACCTGATGAAAGGTCGAACCGCGTCACGGTCAAGTATTATTCTATATTTCACCACCATTCCCAACCATAAAAATGAGACACATCCACACCCGCCGCCCGTCGGCCATCAAATCAAGTCCCAAATGCTCACAAGCCGGCAGAGCTACAGAGATAGTATCCCACAACACGGATGTAATATATAAGGGGCCGAGGTGAGAAAATCCATTATTACCTCACCTCGGACCCATGGCCCCCCTACTCTTTTACTGTACGAAACAGCTGATGGGCCAAACCTTAATTGAAGATTCCCCCTACGTCATCTCAGGGAAGCTTTTATTTAAGGGTTGTGACCCTCTTTAAGTCTTTTATTATCCCCTTAAGTCTTTAGTTTCCCCTCAACAACCTAAGCCCACTACGGCACTTGAGTAGCACCAACCTAGCAACGCAGCTCCCCCTCCGAGCCCCTGTGGCGATTGAACATAACAACCTAGTAGGGACATGGGCGATTCCAAACTCAGCCTCGCGGCGATTGAGCGTCCCTGTCTCTCTTCCCCCCCCCTTATACAGGTAAGTATAACTATATTCCTTGTAGCCCTTGTACCCTTGTAGCTACCTACGAAGACGACTACCTAGGAGAAGAAGACGACGATGGCCGTATCGGAAACGGGTGCCCCGTCTGTCGCTCGGATGATGAAGTAGCTCAGGTCTATCAAGCCGTGGTGTACCACCGTGGAACCCAGGACGACCCCGTGGTCATCGACGAGGACTAAGGTAACCCTAAACCTATAGACCAACGCATACTCCCCTTACCAGTAACACACGTTAGTCTCGCTCGTGTGCAGTGCACGCGGTTAGCATCAACCCGTTCCAGCCCGCGCCGATACCGTGCTCCGATTTCTTGCACGCGCACTAATCGAATGCGGAACACCAAACCTCTGGGCATAAAAAAATCAACCTCAGACTCAACTCCAAGTCCAACCTGAAGGTGAAAAACCCCTACCATGCCATGGAAATCAAGACCACCGAAAGTTAGCCACTGGTCCTTTACCATCTCATTCCCTACACCGGCAACAATAGAAAAGCTTTCAAATCCCCCACCGGGTAAAATACTTTACATCGCCTTCACGGTTTTGCCGGACTCTTCCCTCCTCGGATACCTCAACACACCCCGATGCTATGCTTCGGGGATAAAACGCGTCTTAGACCCTGTATCCGCATCACCCGACAATGCGAAACGCACCTTAAGGACAATCCTAATGAATGACAACTATCAGCATTTCGGTGATCCAAGCACGCGAGATATAAGGTGGTTCATCCTAAAACTTACAAAATCCTCCCAGGAGACCAAGGATCTAAAGAACGATGTAGACATCCTTTCATCGGTGCTTGCACACACCAAAACCCCCTCGATCCGCCATCACCTCAAAGCATTAATCTCGAAGCACTAATTGATTAGTCGCAACCCCAATTTAATTTTTTCTTTAATTTTTTTAATTTTTTTATACCGAATAAAACTTAAACTACGCATCGTCCAAATTGATCGAACTATCGGCATCGGAAGGGAAATCGATCGCATCATCGATCGTATCATCGATCGTATCACCATCGGCACCATCGGCACCGGCACCATCGGTACCATCGGCACCAGCACCGGCGTCATCGACATCGGCGTCATCGGCAACATCATCCATGTCGTGGTTAATAAACTTGAAAGGAAGCTCAGACAAAGCCGTCAAAGCCGTCATGAATTGCCCGCGTAGCAAGTGGTGGTCAAATTCGTTGACGTACTCTTCACAGACCTCATCATCTCCTGCAAACCACATCACATACAAGAGCTCATCGCCAGTGAGATGGAACTCAATCTTCACCGCGGTGCTAAGATCCTTAGACATCACAGCGTTCAAAGGACGCTCAATGTCTTCATGAATGCAGATTCCGCGGTAGTTAATACTAGCCATAGTTGATATTGAAATCTCTGTTTGCTGTCTGTTCGAGTTGTTGTCGACTTTGTCGAGTTGTGTCAGTTCGTCTAGAAAAAAACCGAAGTACATCCTATCCCACGCCGTTTCAGCGTGGTTTCTATCCCACGCCGTTTCAGCGTGGTTTCTATTCCAATCACGCAAGCGTGCGTGCCTACTCCACGTTAGAAAGTTTCGAGTTACCACGCTCCGTCCCAAGCCGTTACAATCCATCACGCTTTGCGCCACATGAGCAACAACCTCACTTTCAGTTTCAGCCCTCTCTACAACAGAAGCAAGCTCCTTTTCCAACATGTCCAACCATGAACAGGCGCTACAGTGGATATCCGCCATGGATAAAATCCGCGAAAGTTCGTTCAACCTCGGCCCCGACGGCGTCGAATCCTGGCTCGAAGACGTCAAACGCGCCGCAGACCATTGGGGAAACAACCGCATCCCGCCCGACATCAAGAATGCGACCAACGTAACCGAAGACACCTGGGCAAGCCGTGGAAACTCTGTCACTCCTGTTTTCCGCCACAGCATTCCGAAGTATGTGAATGCTGTGCGTGAATTCACACACAGCGTCAAGACGAGCACCTTTCACCATTCGTACAAAGCCAAGAACGGAGACCTCCAATCTGGTGAAGGCGTCCCACGCAATCGCATGACCGCACACAAACGCAACAAACTCGAATTCGTGGAAATCACTTATTTTCAGCTCGATGGCACTCCCTTCACCATTCGCACCACCACCATACAGAGCGGTTATTATTGGCATATGTGGATCAGAAGCTTTTGGGAAAGGCTCTCCGAAATCCTCGATGCACCCTACGATGAGAAGAACAACCACTACCGTCGCCATCTAGTCGCCCTAAATGCAGAAGTGCAAGAGCGTGGCCACGGATTCTTCCCTGAGAGCGTCCGCGCCGTCATTCATGAACTCCAGGACCGCTTCGACGAACCCCGCACTCATTTTGACCCTGTTGTAAATGCAACACCTTAATCTTATTTCCAAGGGTTCTGAAGCAAACCCCATCCTTAAAAAAACATTAATTTGTTTATTTGTTTTCTACATTTTACATTTTTTTTAACTAAAAACATGAAATACAAAGACGCCCCTGCGTTTCACCTGTACTGCCAGACAGGTAAACACCCGTCTCTTCCCATCTCTTCCCACACGATAAGAATTCCCGAGAATCAACAGAAACCATTAACTAACGCGGTATCCCCCGTCCAAGACAACATTAACTCCGTCCCGTTCCGTGTATTCAATGACAGTGTACCCATAATTAGGGTTGAAAGACCGACCTCCGATAAGAAGTCCCATGTTTGGCCGTACACGCTCATCGCACTCAGCAACGTAATGACCCGGATCAACATGTTTATGTGCCTCATTGCAGTAAGGACAAATTACAGTAATAGAACCCTTAAGCCTTAAAGCAACAGGAGTTCCATAGTAGTTCTGCATATACGCCTCCATCTCCCCTACATCCATAGGAACGCTAGCAGTACTAAGACTTGGCGTCTCACTTGGCGCATCCTCAACCACCTTAGGAGTAGGAGCAGATGGAAGTTCACTCACCTCCGCCGCACTGCCATCGTCCTCCCCCTCAATTTCAGAAGCAAAATCTTCAATCTTCATAACACCATCCATCGTAAAAAATGTGGATAGTTACTTCCAACATCATCAGCCTACCAGATTACATGACTATGATGGAGTTCATGAAACGGAAGTTTGTAACGGAAGGATTTATCAGTTACCACCATGCACATGGTTCCCTAATCCTTTGTTGCCTAATCCACGAAGATGAAGAAGTCAACGTGCCCACTTGGTTCCCAACGTACGCTGTTCAACATCGAGATGACAACAACATGGATCTAGACCAACCCATATCCATCGCCGGCAGCATGTTAATAGCCATGACAAACTGCGATTTACTCCACACCAAGAACCTAAAGAACACACGATCCAGACTAGCTGACCGCCTCGGGGTAACCCTATCCCCCTCATCAGTAATCGTAGAGTAACCCTAACGATAAACTAAAAATCCTAACCATAAGCGTGTATCATCCACAAACATCACGCTTTCATGATCAAACACGATTCACTCTAAGTCTCCGGTACCCCGCGTAAGCATGATCCCGGTCTGACGAACCAGGACCCTGACACCTGAAGTTGAATCCGAATCCAAACCCACCATGGTGTGAAAATTTTTTAAGCTAGAACTATAAAGGTTGAGCCCCCGCAGGGGGCTCTGAACCATAAAGATTGGGCCCCTTGGGGCCCAACCACCAAGCTAGCTAGCTAGCTAGTGGGAGTGGAACACATGGTCTTCTGGCTTGCCCTCAAAGCACTGCAGCAGAGCCTCCTGCATCTTCGGCTTTGTCTTTTGGATGGAATTTCCCAGGACCCTGGCCCAACCCTTCATGTCTGCGAAGCTTGTGCGTGGGTCCAACAGCTTGGCTTTGGTCAGACCACCTTGCTTTGGAGCAGCCTTTCTCTTGCCAGGAGCGGCATGTTCATTGATCCTGGCCATCTGCCTTCCATCGTTTGTCAACGCCGCTCCCAAAGAAATTCGTAATTTGGGACTGGCCCTGGCCTGCAGCTTTCTTCCTTGCAAGGGCTCTCACAACAGGAGATGTGACTCCGTGGACTGCTCCCTGTGGGAAATGGCACTGCAGATATTGATCCAATTTCCCCGCCACTAGAGGAGTCCTAGCTTTCACAGAGGCACGTCCTATCTTGCCAACAGCCGCCAAGAACACCATGCCGTTCCACCTTGGGGAACCGTCCACTGGAGTACAGGTCCCGGATGTAGTGGTCGATACCAGCCGGCGCCTCTTTCGTACTCGCACTCATTTTCTTCGGCGATGAAAGCGGATATATACTCGGCTGCGGTGGCGAAGTACCTCTGCGGCTACTGAATGAGGATTGCGAGGAAAGCAGATATATCCTCGGCTGCGGTGGTGCAGTACCTCTGCGGCTACTGAATGCGGTAAGTACACCTCTGCGAAGTACCTCTGCGGCTACTGAATACGGAAGGGATGACCTCGGTTTTATTGTCTTGCTTCACTATCTCGCTCAAATTCGAAATCCTCTGCGAAATCCTCTGGCGAAATCCTCTGGATGCATGCTCTGTCGGTCTTTCGAAAACAACACGAAAACAACACCACGAGAGACTGATCGAGCTGACACAGAGAAAGATGCGAATCGAATCGTGTGCACGACTGACTGACGTCAGTCGGGTGACGTCATCGAAATCTAAAGATCCAACGATTCTGATTGGCTAATGGCTCTACGGCGCTTCTACAGGGGTAGTGTACGGTTGGGCTGATGTCGGCACGGAGGTCCCGCTGTACTTTCTGTACCAAGCCTTTTATGTTCTGTGGACGTAGCTTCCGTGATCAGAACCCCCACCGGTAAGCACCCAATGAGAACCGGTTGAAGTAACCAACCAATCAAAACGAAGTTTGCTGGAGATAGTACCGACCCCACCAAACAGTCTACGACCCAAGCTATTTTATTCAATGAAAGTTCCACCGCCTCTCGACCGGTTAAATAACCCCGACCACTGTGGACTAGACTCATGACTCGTCCGTGACAGACTCCCCGTGGTCCTAAACCCTCGTACTCAAGAGGAAAAACAATTAAAGGGGTTGAGGGCTCTGGCAGCAAGACTGCCGAGGTATACAGTACTAGTACGTTCGCCACCGTCACGTTGTTCACGAGAACGAGATGCTTTGAATGGACATCTCGCGGCCGTGGAGGGTATGTCCCTCGTGGTGCCCTCCTCACTTCACCGTACCGGTACGTGTCGTCACCATGTTGACCGCAATTGTATTTCGACACGATTAGGTGTGGCTGGAGCGAACCATGAACTGTGTCGTCGTGCGTGCTAGTATCAATTTGAGCGCTGCTCGTTCTAGCTGTTGCACCATGCATGGTTGGTCACAGTTGTACCGTACCGTACGGTACGACGGCGGTGATGCGTGATGCACGTGTTTGGCAGCACACGGTAGGGTAGCCTCTTTCAAAAGAAGTTTCGGACAACAGACCCAATTGCTTACTGCTGCGGAGCGACAAAAGTGGATGCCGAACTACATGTATGGCTCTCTGTCGTACGACTGTATTGCTCGGATCTCGATCTCCCTGCAACAACACCAATAAAGCAATTAAGGAGAGCCAACAAAGCCAACTGCCTGTAGTTTAGAGATGAGCCTCCAGCCACTACCTGGTACCACCTCAATTGACCGAGATCCCGCTCAGCCAAAAGAGGTTCGAACGTTGCATTGCTCTCTTTTCCTCGGTCGTATCGGTACAGATCGCACGACTTTACCCAAACGGCGTCGAGACCGAATGATAATCGAATCCAAGACCATTTAGTTTTGGGAAAAGAAGAGGGCAGAACTGGCGATCCGAGGGATTCCCAGATGAAGGAGAGACCGGCATGAACTGTGTGCCGTGACATGCTACCGTATGCGCCGATAGTCAAAGAGGCAAAGAGGCATCCTGCACGATAACTAGCTAGCTACTGGCTAGATCTACGAAGGAAGCTTGGTCTGCTGGGACTTGACATAATAATATGTTGGCAACTTACTGGCAACTGTTTTGGTTGAAGCAAGGTCGAGACAGCCCCAGCTTCAAGTGAAACAGCCGTTTCATTTCTGACTGGTGTACCAGGTGTACCAGTATACACCAGGTGAAGAATGATGCAAAAGAAATAAGACGTACGGTACCGACTCATTGAAAGAGTCTGGTATTGTAATTGGGGAGCGAAATAGATTGACGAAAAGATAAAAAAACACAAAAACAAATGCTACGGCCCCATGCCCCTTGTTGTGCTGCATGTGGCTGTAACATTTGTTTGTTGATTTTATCACTTTGCCGTGGAGAAAAAGCACTCCCCAACTGTCAACACAGCGTTTTGGAGCGATTTTCGATTTTGAAACCTGCACCAGTTCAGTCGTGTATACCCATTCTTTCAGTCATATCACTTAAGTAAATTGGTCATTTCGTTAAATGTTTGCATTAAGCTTGCCAAAACGTTCACTTGTGGGTATATGGACTGCGATTGGTGTTAATGCTCTACTTTCAAATGGCAACTATAGGTTTAACACTCATCTCAAACAGATAACAGAAAGAAATAATGGCTAGGTCAACTTTGAATTTCTCATTACCCATACCTTTCAGAACTTGCGCTTTCCGCGGAGTGACGAGTCGAGTCTATTTATCAATACGGGACATTCTACCATTTTTGATCGTGCATGAGATGTTTTCTGGTGGCATCGGCACATTGCAGCTATGAGAGGTGTTGATAACTAAGTGGACTCAGCACGAATGACAGTCATTTTTCTAACTAGTACCGGTACTCAGTAGTAGAAAGTCATCCTGCTAAGGTACTCTGAACAAGACAGTGCGTACTATGGGCGCAGAAGGAGAAGGCGCAGAACACCCATGCATGCGAACTCATTTTTTCTTGCTTGTCATAACGTCATAACCATCTGGTACGGTACAGCCGCACATCACTCAGAGCTTCCATCGTACTAGTACTCTACGAGTAGGATACCAGAACAATTTGAGCGGCAGCAATAATAACGTGGCAACAACAACAACAACGATTTCTTGAAAGCACTCGATCTGGCTGTGAGAAAGCACACTGCTTCCTCGAAGCTACCCTTTTTTAATTCTGCCACGCCTAATAAATACGATTGCTGAATATCTCATTATAGTACGCCTAACCGTTTTGCGCTGTCTAACGAGCTGGTAGCGAGAGTTTGATCCATTGGCAGCGAAAAGCAAAAAATAATGTGGAGCCTCGAGAATAACCCCAAAGACAAAGACCACGAGGCCTTCGAGTGTCAGGCGGAGACAGGAGAGCTACTCGCACCAACGGTGCCACGTCCTCCTTCTCACGACCGCCGTTTGACATTTGAATTGGCATATGCGAGTGGACATGGCGATCCCACGTTGCCGTATTCGAGCCATGACAGTGTGGATGTTGAAGTACCTGACGAAGTTGTACCAGTCGAGACCGATCCGGGTTATGGCGAACAGCTTGCCGACTCGAGTGGTCTAGCAAACCACAGCCAGCAGACGGAAGATCTCGAGAAAAACGGCAGTGATGAAACGGAAGACCAGGACGACGAAGAGGAAGCTGAAGATGGTGACGACGTTGGAGAAGAAGCCAAGAAAGAAGAAAAAGAAGAAGGGCTGTTCGATGGAGACAATTTGGATTTGGATTTGGACAGTATTCAGGATGACTCCGTCAGCACCGTGCACAGTGCCGAAGACCGCGAGGCAGCCATTCGAGAAGGATTTTTTGGCTTCTTTTTTGGGTACATTTCAGACTCTATTGGTTGTGGTGCCTTTGATCAGCTCATGGCTTCACTGATGGCGCTCATGGCACCCATCGTTGCCATGGGGACCAAATTGCTAAAAAAAGTTAAAGGAGAGGATGACAATGGACAAGAGGATGCAGTTCAAGAGATCATTGATAATGTGCAAGGCACTGGAGCCAATCCATTCACTTCTGGTGGTGGCGGTGGAGGTGGAGGCGGCCCTCCTCCTGGGGTGGCCGAAATGGCAACAGCCGCATCCCAGGGAGCTGCCAGTGCGGGGGCGGCTGGTGCTGCCAGTGCGGGAGCAGCTGCTGCTGGAGGTACGTGTGCAATTGACTGATGTTTTCTTAAAAGGGAGTGTCATGTTACAAACAGAAACACCAACATTTTTCTCTTTCATCGATCCCTCTTCCGTCATTCCATACTTAGCATCCATTGGAGGTATTGCTGGAGTAGCTGGGGCTGTAGCTGGAGCAGGACTTGCTGCACAGGCTGGAGTTGCGGTAGGTGTTGGTACGTTTTGTCGTTCACGCCAAGAGTAAGAGTACATGTCCCTTCTAGACTACTCTGACGCAATATTTTGTGCACATTTCTGGTTGATACAGCTGCTGTTGCTGCAGCTGCTGTCTCGGGTGGTGTTGCGATGACTACCAGCGTGGTAAATACTACCGTCCCCGTGAACCTTTATGGTGACTTTGTGCCACCGTTCTGCTCGGAAGCATCAGACAACAAATTTGGCTATGTTGAATTGACAATATCAGGAATACCCCCCAGTGCTCTAGAGGACAATGAAGCCAGAGGCAGCCTGGAGGACCTGTTTCGAAACGTTTACAATGAAATCACGTAAGCTTGACCATTTATTCAATTTGGTTGGAAGACTGATCACATCTCACATCCTTCGCCATCAATTACGGCTTTCTTTGGTTCAGGGGCATGTGTTTGGACGAGTATGACCGAGTCCTGCACTTTTCACAAATCAATCGATGGGAAACTGTCTGGGGTGACAATACCACTACAACTGGAAGCTCAACAGCAACAACCAACAGAGACAATGCTGTTGGAGGTACTGGCACTGCGACCGCAGAAGAATATGATGCCTTGGTCGCCAGCAGTGTCACTACCACATATTGGACAGCCAAAGTTGACTGCAATGGTTGTCCTGATCAAGAACCATTGTTTGCTGTTCCCGAGGAGGAGTCCAATCCACCTAACAGTCAATCGAGACATCTGTCTTCCTTTCTAAATCACGAGACATCCCCCTCGAAAAAGAGAGGGTTACAAGCTGAACAATTTCAAGCCATCAGCTTTGACATGACAGAGTTCTTTCCGCTCTTTGCAGCCTCTTTTAGTTACAACATTGTCCCCACACTCAATGGCGTCGAAGGTATTACAATTGCAGTGCCAGGATCTGACACTGCTGGTGGGGCTGGTCCACAAATTGTGTTTGCCGTTGCTCGGGCAGTGACAGAAAGCGGCAGTGTGGATGAACAGGCAGCACCTGTGCGACAAATTGGTGAACTTGTGATTCGAGAGATCCTAGAAGCCGTGGAAGCCAATCAAGGGACTATCCAATCACCCTTTGTCCAGAATGATCTTTCCACTATTGAAGACTGCATTCGACAGGAGCAAGGATCTGGGGCAGGGGAGAGCACAGGAGCCCCCAATGCTTCAGAATTCTGTCAAGCTTTGCTTCAGAGTAATGACATTGAGACTTTGGCGTCATGTCTTGACAACGCAGGATCCTCTGAATGTCAACAAATTTTGCCTGGTTTGTTGGAGGAAACACAAACTTTGAGGGAACAAGGTATCAGCGAGAACGATGCAATGAGCACCCCTGGTGAAGGTCAAAATGGCAATGACAATAGAGGCGAAGAAGGGGGGGAAGCCAATTCAGATGGTGGGGCAGAAGGTGCCTTTGAACCTAATACGCCAGCTGACTCTACAACTCCTGGAAGTGAAGGACTTGATTCCCTGTTGGCGGCACCAGCAAACTCACCCATTTCATCGGACCAAGGTCAGCCATTAGCAGCCAGCCCAGCAATAGCCATTGGCGCAACCAGCGCCTCGCCAAACATGGGAACTCCAAGTTATGGTGCATTTGGCCCAGCAGCTACACCGGGCGGCCAATCTGGAAGCTCTGCATCAGTGGGCCCGACCATGCCGGGCAGTTCATTTGGTGAAGCCTCTGTGACTTTAGACAAACCCACAGTTACCCCTGGCCAACCATCTGGGAGTCCCGTGACATCAGTTCCCACACTGCCAACCAGCTCATTTGGTGAAGCCTCCGTGACTCTAGACATACCCACAGTTACCCCTGGTCAACCCTCTGCAAGTCCCACAACATCTGTCCCCGTCACACCAACCAGTTCAATTGGTGAATCATCACCAGTGACTTTAGAGAAACACCCAACGGTGACCCCTGGTCAACCCTCGGCAAGTCCCACCACTTCTGTTCCCACCATGCCAACTGGTTCAACTGGTGAAGAATCACCTGTTGCTCTAGAAATCCCAACAGTGACCCCTGGAAGTCCCTCTGCAAGCCCAACACCTGGGAGCCCGTATGGTGTGATGCCAAGTGCCAGTGGCAATGCTGGCGGTTCACCGACAGGAGGAGGATCACCTTTGAGTCCTTCAAGTACCCAAATTCCAGTTCCACCATCCACTTCCCAAAGTCCTGCTGCTGGTGGCAATCCTCCAGTTACTGACAGCATGCCAACGACTGCTACAACGGCCAGCAATCCTACATCTAATCCAGCAGCAGTTGATGGAAGAAATCAAGGGGATGCTCCTAGTCAGCCAAATGATGGTGCACCCTCTCTTGCACCAGAACTCACAGTTGAACCAACCTTGGAACCATCAGTGACAACAACATCAGAACCCACCGCTGCGCCGACCCCAGATCCCACAACCGAGCCAACAGCAGAACCAACCCCAAGTCCCACAGCCGAGCCTACGACTGAGACAACTCCTGATCCCACTCTTAGTCCAACACTTCAACCAACACCCAACCCAACAACTGAACCAACAGCACAACCTTCAGCTGACATGACACCAGACTCTACACCTACTGCATCAGTTACTTCAATTCCCACAACTCCACAAGACCCTAGTCCAACACCCAATTCATCTCCAGAACCCTCATTACTACCATCTTCCGTTGGATCAAGTACTTCTTCACCTAGTGCGTGCACACCACCATTTGTATCAACAGAATCGGAATATGCTGTCACATTTAATGGTGATCTCTCATCAGTTCCTGACAGCAACTTGACTACAGCCTTCAAGAGTGCTCATGAGACACTGCCCCAGGACGAATGTACACCATGGCTCGATAATGTTGTGGTTCAAAGTAGATCGGTTGGTGCTGGAAGTGGCCGAAGATTGCAACAAGAATCTACCACTTTGGTCATCTTCCTGACAAACTCTACTCATCCCACTGATGTTGTGTTTCTTGGAACCACAGTAAGAGAAACAGCATTTCTCGAAGCCTTCACTATCTCCCTCGATACTCCAGGGGTTTCTGCGGCTTCAATTACATTTCAAAGTCAGCAACCATCTGTCACCCCAGGAAACCCATCTGGTTCTCCCACAACAGTCACCCCAACAGGAACTCCAGGCAGTCCCTCTGTCTCTCCCACCACCGGCAGTCCATCTAGTAGCACACCCACCGTAATCCCAGGGAGTCCATCTGTCTCTCCCACCACCGGCAGTCCAACTAGTGGTACGCCTACAGTGACTCCAGGCAGTCCCTCTGTGTCTCCCACCACGATCATTCCGACTAGTGGCACACCCACCGTAACCCCAGGGAATCCATCTGTCTCGCCCACCACCAGCAGTCCAACAAGTGGCACGCCTAACCCGACTGTTACTCCAGGAAGTCCCTCTGTTCTCGCCCACCACGATCATCCAACTAGTGGCACACCCACCGCAACCCCAGGGAGCCCAACTGTCTCTCCCACCACCACCAGTCCAACCAGTGGCACCCCCACTGTCACTCCAGGAGTCCGTCTGTCTCGCCCACCACGACCATTCCAACTACTGGCACACCACGTAACACCAGGGAGCCACTGTCTCTCCCACCACCGGAGTCCAATACAGGCACCCCCACTGTCACTCCGGGAAGTCCATCTGTCTCTCCCACCACCAGCAGTCCAACAACAGGCACGCCGACTGTCACTCCAGGAAGTCCCTCTGTTCTCGCCCACCACGACCATTCCAACTAGTGGCACACCCACTGTTACTCCGGGAAGTCCCTCTGTCTTGCCAACGACGATCATTCCAACTAGTGGCACACCCACCGTAACACCAGGGAGCCCAACTGTCTCTCCCACCACCGGCAGTCCAACAACAGGCACCCCCACTGTCACTCCGGGAAGTCCATCTGTCTCTCCCACCACCAGCAGTCCAACAACAGGCACGCCGACTGTCACTCCAGGAAGTCCCTCTGTCTCGCCCACCACGACCATTCCAACTAGTGGCACACCCACTGTTACTCCGGGAAGTCCCTCTGTCTCGCCCACCACATCATTCCAACTAGTGGCACACCCACTGTAACCCCAGGGAGTCCCTCTGTATCTCCCACCACCGCCAGTCCAACAAATGGCACCCCCACTGTCACTCCGGGAAGTCCCTCTGTTTCTCCCACCTCCAGCAGTCCAACAAGTGCACGCCCACAGTCACTGCAGGAAGTCCATCTGTCTCTCCCACCACCAGAAGTCCAACAACAGGCACGCCGACTGTCACTCCAGGAAGTCCCTCTGTCTCGCCCACCACGACCATTCCAACTAGTGGCACACCACCGTAACCCCAGGGAGCCAACTGTCTCTCCCACCACCGGCAGTCCAACAGTGGCACCCTACAGTGACCCCAGGAGTCCTCTGTCTCGCCCACCACGATGAATCCGACTAGTGGCACACATACCGTAACCCCAGGGAGTCCATCTGTCTCGCCCACCACCAGCAGTCCAACAAGTGGCACCCCGACTGTTACTCCAGGAGTCCCTCTGTCTCCCCACCACGATGATCCGACTAGTGGCACACCACCGTAACCCCAGGGAGTCCATCTGTCTCGCCCACCACCAGCAGTCCAACAAGGCACCCGACTGTACTCCGGGAAGTCCATCTGTCTCCCACACCAGCAGTCCAACAACAGGCACGCCGACTGTCACTCCAGGAAGTCCCTCTGTCTCGCCCACCACGACCATTCCAACTAGTGGCACACCCACTGTTACTCCGGGAAGTCCCTCTGTTCTCGCCCACCACGACCATTCCAACTAGTGGCACACCCACCATACCCCAGGAGCCCAACTGTCTCTCCCACCACCGGCAGTCCAAGAACGGGCACCCCCACTGTCACTCCGGAAGTCCATCTGTCTCTCCCACCACCACCAGTCCAACAACGGGCACGCCGACTATCACTCCAGGAAGTCCTTCTGTCTCGCCCACCACGATCATTCCAACTACTAACACACCCACTGTTACCCCGGGAAGTCCATCTATTTCTCCCACCATCAGCAGTCCAACAAGGGGTACGCCTACAGTTACTCCAGGCAGTCCCTCTGTACTGCCCACCACAATCATTCGACTAGGCACACCCACCGTAACCCCAGGGAAGTCCATCTGTCTCGCCCACCATCAGCAGTCCAACAGTGGCACCCTACAGACTCCAGGCAGTCCCTCTTTCTTGCCCTCCACGATCATTCCGACTAGTGCACCCCCGTTGTAACCCCAGGAAGTCCATCTATTTCGCCAACTGCAAGCTCCCCAATTAGCAATCCAACTGGTCGCCCAACAGGTCATCCAACCGGAAATCCCAGCTTCAGCCTCACGGTTACCCCTGGAAACCCTTCTGCTGCCCCAACAACCAGCATTCCATCCGTCAATCCCAGTGACAGCCCTAGCGAACAACCATCTCTTTTGCCTTCCAGAGTAATCCGGAAATCCAAGCTTCAGCCCCACGTTACCCCTGGAAACCCTTCTGCTGCCCCAACAACCAGCATTCCATCCGTCAATCCCAGTGACAGCCCTAGCGAACAACCAACTCTTTTACCTTCCAGAGTCCCATCCGGAAATCCAAGCTTCAGCCCCATGGTTACCCCTGGAAACCCTTCTGCTGCACCGACCACCAGCATTCCATCTATCGATCCCAGTGACAGCCCTAGCGAACAACCATCTCTTTTGCCTTCCAGAGTCCCATCCGGAAATCCAAGCTTCAGCCCCACGGTTACCCCTGGAAACCCTTCTGCTGCCCCAACAACCAGCATTCCATCTGTCAATCCCAGTGACAGCCCTAGTGAACAACCAACTCTTTTACCTTCCAGAGTCCCATCTGAAAATCCCAGTTCTGCTCCCACACCGACTCCTGGAAGCCCCTCTATCATGCAAATCACCAGCCAACCCGTTACTAGTCTCAGCATGGAACCCTCTCTCTCACCGTCCAGCTTGCCAATCAGTGGTCCTACTCTGCCCACAGGAGCCCCATCTGCAGTACCTTCTAGTTTTCCTTCGAATGAATCGTCTATGGATCCTTCTGGTTCCAGTGTTCCCTCAAGTGCACCTTCAGCCCTCCCATCAACACCACCATCTTCTTCACCATCAGTCCTTTCTAAAGAACCCTCGAACACTCCCTCCAGCATTCCATCTGCGGCTCTATTGGCTGGGTCGACACAACCTTCAATTTCCATTAGTCCCTCAAACCAACCTTCAAACCAACCTTCAGCTCACCCTTCCGTTTTGCCATTTGGGTCTTCAGTATCACCCTCTGCTTCTGCGGCACCATCCAACACCCCTTCCAAGATTCCATCAATGACCCCATCGACTACTCCATCAATGACTCCATCAATGACTCCATCAATTATTCCGTCAATCACTCCATCAAATATTCCATCAATCACTCCATCGATTCTTCCATCAATCACTCCATCATTCACCCCATCAAGCAGGCCATCGGTAACTCCATCAATTACTCCATCAGTTCTGCCATCCACATCACCCAGTGTTGGTCCATCAGCAAACCCATCAAACATTCCAACTGTGGGGATTCCATCATTTACACCATCACACCAACCAACAATTGTGACGTCAATGTCTCCTAGTGAGAGTCCATCGTTACCACCATCATCTACTCCTTCAATATTCTGCTTCACAACTCCACTTCTTGTGTTCCAATCCCTACAAGAAGTGACAGGATGTATGACCGTGAATCAAGGGGAATTCACTGGCAGCAGTGTCTATCATGCATCTTCATGCAGCATCACAGCTGCTCAACAGTATGTCTTCAGCTGTACAGACAGATTTGAGGTCCAATCTGGCCAGGGGTGTTTGACAGTTGACACAGCAACAAGAGATGTCATAATCTCCCCATGTCAGGACATACCCAGTCAAAGGTGGTCTGTCACTGATTTGGGAAATCATCTCGAAGTCAGAACCCAGCACGATAACAGTTGCCTCACCTGGGGTGGTCTTCCTGGAAGAAACTTTTTTGCAGCAGTATGCAATGGCAGTGGCGCTCAAAAATTCTATATTAACGATACTCTGTACAGTGCAACACCATCAGTTTCTCCTTCGAATCAACCATCGACATCTCCTAGTGTTGTTCCATCAGTTTCACCATCAATCTCTCCATCCTTGACACCATCAGTGCCTCCCAGTCTATCACTGCAACCCTCTTCAAGCCCCTTTGATAGGCCATCATTGTCTCCCTCAGAATTGCCATCTCAACTACCATCAACGTACCCGTCATTATTTCCTACATCCCCTCCAACCGATGCTCCTTCCAACGCGCCCTCACACCTGCCATCAACATCTCCTTCCCAGGCTCCTTCTAGCATGCCATCAATGTCTCCTTCTGATTTGCCCTCGCTTTTCCCCTCTGATTCGCCCTCGCTTCCCCCCTCAATCTCTCCGTCTGATTCGCCCTCGCTTTCCCCTTCTGAATTTCCCTCTGGATTGCCCAGTGATAGCCCCAGTATGAGCCCTTCCATGACTCCAAGTGATTTGCCCAGTGGGCAACCAAGTGTCACACCTTATCAAGCATTTCAAACCTTGTCTGATCTCAAGGCAGAAATCACTTCATTGAATTATGCTTCAGCAACATACGGACCCATCGAAACTTGGAATGTGACTCTTATTGATAGCTTTTATGAGTTGTTTAAAGGAAATACAGCTTTTAATGAAGATATCAGCGGTTGGGACGTCTCCAGAGTAACTTCCATGTTCTGGACATTTCAAGGTGAGTTGTCTTGTCTTCTCTATAGTGGCATACTTGGGTAAAGTGATCCCTGCCATTTTAACCTTTCCATTTCTGCAGGAGCCACATCTTTTAATCAAAACTTGAACAGTTGGGCCACTTCAAAAGTATCAAACATGGAAGCAACCTTTGGTTTGGCAACTGCATTTGATCAAGTACGTCCAGAATGGTGTTGAAGATCTTGAGCAACATGCCATTGCTGACATTTAGTATTCTTTTGCCATTTTAGCCACTGGGAAATTGGGATGTTTCAAAGGTCACTACGTTTCGGTTGATGTAAGTGCAACTACCGACGGGACATCACTCATGACTCTGTATTTTAGATTGCTGCAGCTGACACCACACACCAACTTCCCGCTGTAGGTTTGACGCGGCAATCTTTGATCAGGACATTTCAACATGGGTCACCTCATCAGCTACCACCATGACTAGGATGTTTCGCGTAACCACGCAGTTTAATCACGATATCTCTGGTTGGGATACGCAGAAGGTGGTTTTCTTCTACCGAATGTAAGCTTGGCAATTTCGCTGCCTGGGAAGGATCTGCTTTAAATCTCATGACCTTATGCTTGGTTTGCAGGTTCTATGAGTCTCAGGCCTTCAACATAGATATCAGCCAATGGGATATCTCCAGTGCTACCAACTTTCGAGGGGTGAGTTCGACTGGCAGGGTGTTTTTGTTTTCGTATCATGTGTGTCCTGAGCATTGGCTGCTAACCCTGCTGCTGCCATGTCCAGATGTTCTATGACAGCGTTTTCAATCAAGATCTTTGTGCTTGGCGTTCCAAAATTAACGTATCAATTGATCCTAAACCAGTCGTTGTTGACATGTTTGCTCAGTCTGCTTGTGCAAACAGGAATGATCCATCGCCACGTAGCGCTGGCCCCTACTGCAGAGCTTGTTAACCCGGGTGAAGTGAGCCCATCGGATCCCGGTCCCTCCGCCTTCCAGCTGTCGAGAGTGACAGTCATCTTTTCGTTGAAGAACCTGGAAGTTCGAAGTCGTTCTCGGGGTGAACTCCTGGATCTTGAAGCCCACCGCAAAGAGATCGATCCCCTCGGCGCAGATCCATGAGGTGCCATGCACAGATTGCAACAAGGGTATCTTCCTTACCGAGCTACCCACTAGCTATAGCTAGTGGCAGGAGAGAAGCACTCACCATGACAGGCGGTGAATCTCATCATCATAACGAACATCACACGACGACGAGCCGTGGTCGTATGCTGTTTGGCCATCCGGTCCTTTTGCAGGATTGGGACAAAGAGTCGGAGCATGCCTTTCAGTACTGGGAGCTCTTTTTAGACTTGTTGCTGGTGGCGGCTGCTTCATCAGTGACGGATCAATTCAAGGAGAATCTGACTCTCACTGGATTGGGCGAATTTGTGGTCTTTTATTTGGTGCTCATGAACGGATGGTTGCTCTACACGCATCACATCACGACGCGATTTCACGACAATTCTTTGGCACATTCCATCAACCTATTCTTCTACATTGTGGGATTCGGATTGGCCATGGTCAATACGGGTTATCACGATGTGCAAGCTTTCTGCTGGGGTTCCATTCTGCAACGGGCCGCCATTCTGCTCATGCTGACATCGTTGACCTGTTATATTCCAAGATCCAAGTACACCAACGGCATAATTGCATGTATCACGGTTGGCACCATGGCCCTCTTGTTGGTAGTGGCATTGCTGGGCAAACACATTGAAGAATCTCCTATCATCATGGCAATCTTCTGGATTGCTGCTTTTCTGGAATTCTATACTGAAGTTATCATGATACAATTCTTGGGAGGACAACGTCTCGTACCCATCAATATCGAACACACCAAGGAACGCTTGGGCGCCCTGGAGCTGGTATGTCTCGGAGAGACGGTCCTCTCTGTGACCATTATCTATCGCGAAATGCTCAGCGAAGGAGAAATTGGTGGTCATCACGGCGAAGCCGACAAAGAGGAACTTGACACTGCTTCCAGGCCCAAACATGCCTACTATTGGGTCCTTTTCTATTCGTTTCTCTTGGTTTTTATGTTCCTCTTGTTGTACTTTCACATGCAACCGAGTCCTTGTGACCATGCGTTACGACGATCCCGCTTTCACGGCGCGTCTCTCATGATTCTCCACAAAGTCTTGGGATTGGCCATCCTTGCTGTTGGTGTCAGCGTCAAACTGGTTGTCGAGAGTCTCTTGGCAGAGGAAGAGTTACCCCTCGTTGCTTCACAACTCATGGGATATGGCGTTGGTTGCTCCATTTTGATTCTCTTTGGAATGAGGTACTTGCATTACGGTGGCAGGGATAGTATCAATTTTGATACCCTCGTCATGTACTACGGTGTCGATCCTCGGTTGGATCAGATCACGACCTTTTGGTGGTGGACGGTGGGATTGGCCGGGTTTGTTCCGATTGTGTGGGTGCTGACTGGGTTTTCCACACACTACATCCAGGACCCTCTCATTCTGACGGGTTCTCACGCCTTGTTCATGTTCGTACTCGTACTACTCGAGTCCTACTTTGCTCATGTCATTCAAGATAATCTGATACGACAAGAGGCTGCCATTACCGGTGGTGGTAATGGAGAACGCGAAGGTTTTGTATCCAGCGAGGTATCGAAATATGACACAACCTAAGCAACAATCAGGAGTGTACTGAGGGACAACAACTACCGGTATCGTTGAGCTATTGTATGTAAATTCGGGTGGACAGCAGACAATCACGTTTGTTCTGCATCCTTGCTACCGATAATCCGAATATGCCTGTGTCACCTGTTTGGTTATAATAGGACTTCTGAATAACAATCGTACCGTAGCTGCATATTGCTCTCACATCTCACACACCCCGTTTCGTTGCTCCGAGAGTTAGTAACGCAGTCTCCTATCCTATACCCATCAATGAATGGCAAACAGCATGGGAACACCGTTTTCCTCCACGGTCACTATTTGAACGTGGGGCTTGCCTCTGAGGACGTGGTATTCAAAGAATGCGGCATTGTATTTCCTCTCGTAGTCCAGAGCGGCCTGTCATTCCATTGCCGCACCTCTTCGTCCGCTTGTCGTTCCCAGTACGCCACGGCTTCCACCGTCCCGACCGCTCCCACGACGTAGGCCAAAATGCCGGCTGGTAGCAAGTTAAAGTTGTCTACACTGGCAAGTTGACAAATGACGATGATTACGATTGCAAGAAGGGTGTTCCGCCGCAAGGACAAAACTGCCACCGTTTGCTTCGTCTCAGAAAGCTGTTCGTAGCGGGGTCTCGTTTCGTCGTACCGTGGTTCCATTTGGGCCACTTTAATTTCGATTGGGAAGTCCATTGCTGCATTTCCGGAGGAAGTCGACAGATAGGGACAACTAACTTTCGGCTCTTTCTAGCTAAGCCTCTCGTTTTCCCTTCTGCTTCCATTGTGGTGCGTGTATTCCCTCCTCGTCCGGTTCAATGAGCAAACCTCTTTGCAAGGGGGTCTTGGGACCAAGTCGACTCCCGCGTGGGTTGGCACTTCAGCGATAGGTTGGGGGGTGGAAAATTTGGGTCCAACGTGCACCCAAATCGAATCATTCAATCGGTTCTTTTGATCGATCTCTTGTTTCCTGTTTCGACAATGATGATCGAAGGAACAATGGGTTTTAGAGTAGGGAGGTCCTCAAGGGAAGGCACACCATGCCAGAGCCCAGCTAGCTAGCTAGGCTATGACAGCAACCACAGTGCAATTGTGCACCAAGGGTCTCAGCTTCGTCTGCATATCTCCAACAAGCATCCCCTGATCGGGTCTATACTAGCGAGTAAGTAGGGGATCGGACTGCTCAAATTGACAGAGGTATCGCCTATCCCCAGAGAGACCCCGCATCCGTTGTGCTTGAATGAAGAAGTTGAAGAAGTTGCTTAAGAAAGAACACTACAGCCAGCCGGAGGGCACCAGAGGTGGTCTCCTGTTTTTGCAGCCCTCGACCGGTTGTGCATTCAATGACAGAGACCCTGGAGCTCTTTTTAAAAAAAATCTTTATGCATGACTGCTGCTTTCTCAGCAGCCATCAACGTTTCCATGGTAAGTCTTGTATCCTTCTTGCTGGCTAGCAGTAGCTACGTGCGTCAAGCAAAGAACCGTCAACTAGCCAGCTAGAAGAACAGGCAGCGTCCCTGACTACAAGAAGGAAGCGAACAGTTTCGGGGACGCGGATGAGTTAGTCGTCAGTGCGATTATTGACCATCATAGTCTACTACATGTAGAAGTATGTACTTCGACCTCCCAAAGCACCCAGCGAGGAATGTTTCACTTGGTCCTTTCAAGTTCGTGGTACGATACCACCGGTACGCATAGTCTAGCTGTACCACAATTGAGCTGGGACTCCTCAGTGTAACGTGGGAGTTCAACTTGGCAGAGTTCACTTTCGATCCTGACAGATCTCATGCCGACAAATCTTTGGGAAGCTTCTGCGTAAACATCCCTCCGATCAACTGGACGTTTCCCACGATCTTCTCACAATCTCAACTTGCTTCCATTCCATCTCAGAGCAATTGTTCAGTGCAAAAAGATTTGGTTTTTAATAATCACACCAGTCTGATTCCTAACTACTAGATAGCTTCTACACTACTAGCTAGTACAACCAAAGTAACATAAAACTTCTCCATCCAACAACAACAACAGCAACAACAACTCTTCCACCATGACAATCACGGAAACGTTGGACAACTATTTTTCCTTGACGGAGCGAGGAGCCACCATTGGTGGCGAATTGCGTGCCGGAACGGCATCCTTTTTAACTCTATCCTACCTGTTGTTGGTCAATCCTCAAATCATGGCACAGGCAGGAGTCAGTCACGACGATGCCGTGTTTGCCACTGCCCTGTCGGCATCGATTGCTTGTTTTATTGTTGGATTTTGTGCCAATCTACCCTTTGGATGTGCCCCGGGAATTGGTCTCTCGGCCTATCTGGCCTTTGGATTGGTCCAGGCCGAACTCTGTACGCTGGAAGAAGCACTTACAGTTTGTTGGTGGTCTGGAATTGTGGTGATTATGATCTGCCTGAGTCGTTTGACAGTCTATCTCATGAAAATTGTTCCGCAATCCATCAAATACGGAATTGTCGTGGGAATGGGCTTGCTGATTGCCATGATTGGAATGGTCGATGTCAACATGATTGTTTCCGATGAAAAGACGTTGGTCAAACTGGGAGATGTCATGGGGGACGATGGGACTCTGGCGTTGTGTCTTTGTGGTATCCTCTTGGTGGCATCCTTGCTCTATCATGATGTCAAGGGTGGAATTCTGATTGGAATTGCCGTCCTGACTCTCTTCTCGTGGACGTGGAAGCATACCTGGCCCGAGTCTATTTTCCAATGGCCCGAGTTCCATAACAATGGATTTTTGGATCACCCATTGGCCGTGTTTGATTGGAGCCGAGCTGCCGTCTTTCTCCCCGCTCTGGCTTCCTTTGTCTTGATTTGTATCTTTGATATTTCCGGTGTCATTTACGGTTTGGCAACACTCGGTGGATTGATCACCCCCGAAGGCGACATTCCAGGATCCTTCTGGACATTTATTGCTTCGGGCGTTGGAACCTTGGTGGCGGCGTACTTTGGTTCCACACCGATTATTGTCTGTGTCGAGACCGCGTCGGGAGTCCGCGAAGGAGGTCGAACGGGTCTCACCGCCGTCGTGATTGGACTCTACTTTATGGCCAGCATTTTCTTGTCCCCGTTGTTTACCGCCGTGCCCGAGGTGGCCACCGCCCCAGTGTTGGTCATGGTGGGTGTCATGATGATGGGGGAAGCGGCCAAGATCAAATGGGAAAACATGGACGAGGCACTTCCTGCATTTTTGACAATTATCTTGATGCCATTGACGTACAGCATCACCAATGGAATGATCTTTGGACTCTTGTCAGCAGCAGCGTTTTACTTTACCACGGGACAGGCGTTTACCGATACTATGGATTTGTTTAAAAACGCCAGAGCGGCCTGTACGAATGCAGGACGAACGAAGGACAACGACGCTAACGAGGTAAAGTCCGAAAAGTCCGAAAAGACGGCCTTGTTGGACGTGGAGACTGGAACCAATACGGACAGTGGCACCTTCTCTTGAGGAGGAGGATGCAAACAGTCTACAATTTTTTTCAGTTTGAAGTTTTTGAAACGAAGGACTTGGCCTACAAGCTCGATGTCCATGGATGTTGGATGCAAACCCTCTTTTTTGCCTGCCTGCTGGTATTTACACTGTTGCTTTTGCTTGCTTGAATACTTGACTACATATAAAGTAATGCTCGAATGTACCCTACGATAGCTCAAATTTAGCTAGCTCATATTATTACAAGACCCCACACTAAAGCTGGAAACGACACACTGCAGCATAGGAACACTTGTCTGATTGACGAAAGGCAGAACCACACCCTGACTGATGGCGCAGAATTTTAAAAGGAAAACCTTGAACGGAGCGAGAAGCAAGTGATATGCAAATATAGCAATGCAAACTGCAATGTAGATGTAGACCTAGAGAAACATCGAGTGCGTACCGGTGTGGTTCTATCGTAGTGATTCGAGATTCCCAAGAAATTTGGTCCTTCTCTAATCACACCGACATGGAACCCTGCCCCATGACAGGTCTCCTCTTTACAAAGCTCGTTTGCGGCTAGCTTCCCCCCGCAAACCAGCAACGAAAACAAGCGTACTACTAGTAGTGCTAGGCCTAGTCTAGCTAGTTGTATCGTTTCCACTGCTATGCTAGCTAGTAGCCAGCCAGCAAGTAAGTCATTCAAACAACAAGCAACGGTGTGGGGTTTATGTACAAGATAAGACGAATGGTAATTTGTGAGCACGATTTAGTCCCCTCAAGCTCGTTTGGTACTTAAACAACGGTATCCGTTTAGCAAGATTTCTTACGACGATCCACATGCAAGCATCCCTGTGGCAAAACAACACACCATTTGGACGTTGTGAACCATGAGGATGATCAAGTGCTTCCGTCACCTCTTTCTATTGTTTGGTGCCATCGTTTTCCTGTTACTATCGGATGAAGCTGTATCCGCCTCTCCGCTGAGAAAGGGCACTGAAGAAACCGAGAGGAATCGTCGACGAAGGTTGGAAGATACGGACACTCTGTCGCAAATCCAGACCATCCTGGATGATTCTCTGTCGAAGACCAACTTTGACCTTCGGAAAGCCATGACGGATCCACTGCAGTTGGAACTGGCCGCGGCGGTACCAGTGGGATGTGGCAATCTGGCACTGGAAATGAGTTTTGACCGACTGACGGGATTGTCCAGTATTGATTTGACGTCCTTGACAGCCCAGTCGGGGACCGAGAGTACGTTTCCCGATTGTACGGCGCTGCCACAGACCAAATGGAAATCGGCCGTCGATATTGTCGTCGGTTTTGGGAGCGATATCGTGTCCGGCCAAGTGGGAGCTCGATTGGTGGGACGATGCGGCGGACAACGCTACAATCAGCCCTTGACGGTCAGTGTCACATCGACCGGCAACACGTTTACGGGAAGTTCCAATATGGAAGGCATTCTGGGAGATGTGGTGGATGCCATTGCCAAGGTGGATATCTTGGGAGTACTCAGCTTGACGTCGACCATTTCTTCCACGGTCGCCTTGATCCCCTCGGCGCTCTCGGCGTACGAGTCTACCATTACCTCCCAGGTGGAAGCTGCCTTTCGAAACCAGATGGTGCAGATGGTGGAACCGCATCTTCGACAAAAACTGGAGCGACTCGTTCCGTCGACACCGTTCAGTCTCATCAACCGTCTTGCGGGCTTTCTGCCAGATATCGTAGAGTTGGTTGTGGGAGATCTCTCTGATTATTTTGGTGGTGGTGATGATGATCTCCTGAATTTGGATGATTTGTTGGCGACAGACGATGGCGAATAGCTAGTTTGATACAAAACTACATCTGTGGGTAGCATGCTGATGCAGCATGAATACCGGTAGCATCAGCAAATACATTGGGTTTGTATGTATCGAGACGATTCGATTCACTAAAGTACTCCGTTCTTCGTCTAGAGCAATGAAAGATTCACGTTTGTACCCTCCTAGCTAGCTGCTAGCTAGCTAGCTAGCTAATGGTAGTCTGGATTGCAAACGAATATTAAGAGATCTCCATCTACAAAGCCGTTGTTCTAAGCAGCCATTGTCTGGAGCTCATAGAGTTCCTTTTCTGTCTGTGTCTCTGTGTCCTCGAGTTTCCTACTTTTGACAAATTTGGGTCTGCGATCCATGACCGCGTGAAGCCCAATCACGGACTGTGGGATGGAACTCCCGCATTCCATGCATCCGTCCATCATCCGCCCGCGCATCCATCCATCGAACATGCAGCAGGGGGGGTCAACAGCTGTTGGTATCGTTGACAGCTGTCAACCATCATCACATCACGCATGGGTTGACGAATTTGCTTCATCAGAAATGGTACCGCGCATCATAATGAAACGAGTTCCAAGCAGCAATACAGCACAGTATCAGTTTCCTTCGACTGGTTGCATCTCGATCTAGCTACAGTAGTCCTGGCTATCTAACGTATTTGTACAACATGAGCGAAAGCACAAGAGATGTTCTCCTCAAACGAGCCGAATTGGAAGCTCGACAAAGCCAAATTGATCAAATCCAAATTGATCAGGCAATGGCTGCCGCCGTGGAGGAGGATGAAGTGGACCAGAAAATGGAGGCCAAGAAGCAACCACCCAGGTCATCTCCTGCCCATCTGGATTTTTTGGCAAGAGGAAAGCCAACAAAATCAAAAGGACAACAAGCCACTGCTCAACCTGAAGTCTACAACCAAGAGGACCGAGAAATGATGAAAATTGTTGCGGAACAAGCCGCTTTGGCTACAGTCGAGCAACGGGAGGGAAAAAACCACAAGCAAGAATTCCACGATCTTCCCCAAATGGCAGCCGAAATCAATGAGGTTGCCAAATTGGAAAAGATAGCAAACAAAAACTCAGGAGTGGAAGGAGAAAAGCCCACAACCATTCAAGAAATAATCAATCCTGCTGGCTTGCGACTAACACCACCACACCAACAAAGACAGCCACAGCGCCCCGGAGCATACATGGGTGCTCCAGGGGAAGCTCTACAACGTGCCAATACCCTCAGATTCTCACTTGTTGGTGGCAATACTGAGTCACAGTTACCGATGATGGAATCTGAGAGTCAATCCTTGGAACCACCACCCTATAGCAACAGCAACAGCAATAATGATGCGGCCACAAGTAATAATGGCCAGCTGGCAGTGGCAGAGCTGGTTGACGAAGATCCAGAGGAGCAAGCAAGGCCATCAGCAGATCCTGTGAATCTTGATGAGGTCATGGAAAAGGAACAAAGAAGGAAGAGGCAGAGATTGCTGTTTGTTGGGTTTTCAGTTTTGGCTCTTATCGTTGCCGCAATTATTGTTGGCACAGTGGTTGGAACTTCACAGCATCAAAAAGATGCAATCAGCATCCAGATATCTGCACCAACTACTTATGGCTCTATGGAACCATCAGAAGCTCCATCCTCTGCCCCCACTAGATCACTGGATGCACTCATGATGGACCTTCCAATCTCTACCCTTAGGAACATTGACAACAGTAGCACCCCCCAATGGCATGCTTGGCAGTGGCTATCGAACCACAAGAATCTGACCAAGCTCCCAGATTGGAGAAAGGAGCAACTCTTTGCTTTGGCTACATTTTATTATGCATTTGAGGGCCCCAACTGGCCTGATGATATCAAGAATGATTGGATGCAAGATGAGGGCAGACTTGAGGATGAGTGCCTTTGGTTTTCCGCCGAATTTGGGTCGATCCTTTTTGATGGTACTTACGATGATTATGATGATGGTTATGATGTCGATCCATGCAACAAGAATGGCAGATATCAACATCTGGGACTTAGTCGCCTACAACTTGCTAACCTTACTCCAGCTGTTCCACCTGAGATTGCACTTCTTACCGATTTGTCCATTTTGGGTTTGCCATTGAATAATCTCAGTGGCACACTGGATGCCATTTTGCCATCAGAGCTCTTCACTATGGAAAACTTGACAAATATCAATCTTCACACCAACAATTTTACAGGGTCTCTTCCAAGCGAGCTTGGGCAGTTGACCAACATTCAACAGCTAAGAATGTACAGGAACGCCTTTACAGGGTCTCTTCCAAGCGAGCTTGGACAGTTAACCAACATGGCAGAGTTGAGCTGCTACCGGAACTCCCTCAATGGCAGCGTACCATCTGAGCTTGGGTGGCTGACCAGCATAAAAGCATTACAAACGTCCAGGAACACTTTTACAGGATCTCTCCCAACCCAGCTTGGGCTGTTGACCAACATGACATATTTTAGCTGCCACCTGAACTCCCTCAATGGCAGTTTACCTACAGAGTTGGGTAGTCTGACCAGCATTCAAGTGCTGAGAATGTATAGCAATGCTTTTTCAGGGTCTCTTCCAAGCGAGCTTGGGAAGTTGACCAACATGACAGGTTTCAGCTGCCACCAGAACTCCCTCAATGGTATTTTGCCGACTGACTTGGGTAGGCTGACTGGCATGCAAGAATTGAGTATGTACAGCAACTCTTTTATGGGGTCTCTTCCAAGCGAGCTTGGCCAGTTGACCAGCATGACAAGTTTCAGCTGCCACCAGAACTCCCTCAGTGGTAGTTTGCCGCCGACATTGGAAGGCTGACCAGCGTTGAAAAGCTAGGATGTCCACGAACACTTTTACTGGGTCTCTTCCGAGCGAGCTTGGGGTTGAACACATGGCAGTTTGAGCTGCTACCAACTCCCTCAATGGCAGCGTACCATCTGAGCTTGGGGGCTGACCAGCATGAAGAATTGAAAATGTCCACGAACGTTTCACAGGGTCTCTTCCAACCCAGCTTGGGCTGTTGACCAACATGACTATTTTAGCTGCCACCTGAACTCCCTTAATGGTATTTTGCCGACTGACTTGGGTAGGCTGACCGGCATGCAAGAATTGAGTATGTACAGCAACGCTTTTATGGGGTCTCTTCCAAGCGAGCTTGGCCAGTTGACCACATGACAATTTAGCTGCCACCGAACTCCCTCAGTGGTAGTTTGCCGGCGACATTGGAAGGCTGACCAGCGTTGCAGAGCTAGGATTGTCCACGAACACTTTTACAGGGTCTCTTCCGAGGAGCTTGGCAGTTGACCAGCATGACACGTCTTGAAGTCTATCTCAACTCTCTGAATGGCGGCATACCATCTGAGCTTGGGTGGTTGACAACATGGAAGAATTGAAAATACAGAACGCTTTCACAGGGTCTTTCCAAGCGAGCTTGGACAGTTAACCAACATGGCTGAGTTTCTCTGTCCGGAGAACTCACTCAGTGGCAGTTTGCCGTCCGAATTGGGTAGGCTGACCGGCATTCAAGAGCTAGTATTGTCCATGAACTCCTTTACAGGATCTCTTCCGAATGAGCTTGGGCAGTTGACTAGCATGACACTTCTTGAAATCTACCGGAACTCCCTCAATGGCAGCATACCATCTGAGCTTGGGCAGTTGACCAGCATGGAAGAATTGAAAATGTCCAGGAACGCTTTCACAGGGTCTCTTCCAACCCACATTGGGCTGTTGACCAACATGACACTTCTTGAAATCCACCGGAACTCCCTCAATGGCAGCATACCATCTGAGCTTGGGTGGTTGACCAGCATAGAAGAATTGAAAATGTCCAGGAATGCATTCACAGGGTCTCTTCCAACCCAGCTTGGGCAATTGACCAACATGACAGAGTTCAGCTGCTACCGGAACTCCCTATATGGCAGCATCCCTTCTGAGCCTGGGCAGTTATCCAAAATAACGAGCTTGAACTTGAGGGAAAACTCCCTTTCCGGTTCTCTGCCAACTCAAATTGGCTTGCTGACACAACTGACCGAACTGAGTCTGAGAAGCAATTCATTGGATGGACCCTTGCCCAGCGAAATTGGATTGCTGACACAACTGTCTGGTCTGTGGGTTAATGACTGTTTTTTTTCTGGTGCTTTTCCCAGCGAAATTGGGCTGATGGAGTCTCTGCAGATACTGAACCTTCGCAACAATTCCTTCAGTGGTTTGGTCATCTCTGAATTGGGGCAGCTTGGAAACCTACAAGAACTGGATCTTGCAGTGAGTCCACCCTCACTGAGAGGGCCGTTTCCTTTCGATTCCTTGCCTGGTAGCCTAGGCTATCTGAACATCTCTGGCAGTCCTGGTTTGGTAGGATCCATTCCAGAAGAGCTCTGTTTCCTTCAAAAATCCTCTTGCTCTTATGGGGATGATGCTCAGTGCTACATTGACTTTGATTGTTCCAGCTTGCTCTGTGGTTGTGATTGCGACTGTTAATTGTTTTTTGCTGAGTCGTGTACGTGCAGAACTAATGAATTCACTTTGTTGACACAGTTTCTTTATGATACTCTTATTCGTATCTTGAAGCAAAGAGTAGGCCCCAAACACTTGGCAAGTCACTGCCAGGGAAGTCAGCTAGACAAGGGACAGGCCTCTCTTCGTCGCCTTTTCGCGCACAATAGGTGACCCGATCAACTCAAACCAGTGGAAGAATCCTTCCTCTTTTTATCATATCTGAAGAATGCTAGTGCCGGTGGGGGTATTCTTTAATCCAGCAACATGAACAAGACCACGACAATTATGTACGAAGTCAGAGCGTTGCCACCATCACACCAAGCACAAACTCATTGGACGCACTCTCGTGCACACCCCAAGCATATCTCTGACTGTCATCAGTTGTTGTTGCTGCTAGAACGATCGGCCGACACAACCGGTAGAAGCTCGAGCGGTAGCCCTATCAATAAGGTAAGAAACTATGTGATAAGAGTTCAGTATTCTGGGGAACAAGAACAAGTTCTGGTTGCATGGTTGGCTCCAATCCACTATTGAATCCACTACGGTAATGAATCCACTATTGAATGAAGAAAATTTGTGTTCGTTTGACTTGTTGGCTGTGGGACCGAACAATGCCAAGCGCCAGTACTAGTGTCGATCGGAAATTGTACTGTACAGAGCGTTCACTCGGATTGAATTTCAATCATGCGGAGGAATGTTGCGTCGCCGCGGGACACCGGTGCGGTTTCGGGTACCTGGTAGGGTAGAGGTACGGCGAGATGTCAGCCGAGGTACGGGACTCATTGCATGTGCCGATTCTTTCAGTAAACTCGCACCAATCCCATGTTCTTGATTGGCGACCACAAAGCACAGTAGCTTGTGTCGTCCATGGGATAAAGGCGTCCACAATGGTAAAGAATGTGTTAGTTGTCGTCGAGTAACAGTCGTCGGTACGGTAGATATCCCAGTAAGCGATGGTGACAATAGGACTGGCACTCTTCAGTCATAGGAAGCCAGGTTGGTTTAATTGTTGCCTTGTGTGTTTCCATTCTTCCAAGCTGAATGTCATAATCGTCAATGAATGCACTGCTAGCTAGGGCCCATGGCTGTACGTTACGTACTGCCACTTCTGCAAATTGAATTTAGTCGGGCAACCACTCCTGTCTGTGGGCGATATTCGTGCATCCATCCACTCCTGGGCTACATACACATGCACACATACATCACGTGGATTGCAATCAAGCCAACAATCAGTTCAGAATTCATGTTGTCAGATGAATCGAATCTTCATGCATGACGTCTCGATTGTACAGGTACAGCCCCAATAGGTATCCGCTGTAGCCGGCGTGTTGGCTGCCAAAAGCCAAGTGCAACTCTCAGAGGAAGTAGGCAGAAAGAGAGAAGATTCTATTCTTGAATCACTGCAGCAACGTGTGATGAATCTCCTGTTGGCAGCCAGCCAACCAACACACTACAATGGCTTTTGGCAACTCGGCGGTTTGTGCTTCAGTCATGTCATGGACTCAACTCGTCGATCGTCGTCTCATTGGCTGGTTCATGCTGTCGATACCATTGAGCTCATTGGAGCGTCCAAGACCTGCGTGCTGCCGTCTGCTTCTCTTGGGGGTGTTGAAGGAAACAACCGTGGGCCACCACCAACGAGACCACTGCCACGGCCGACTCTGACTCCATCACATTAGTTGCTTCATTAGTTGGTCGTGGTGGTGCATTGGGTGCTGTTGGTGTGGACGTGGGGACAAAGAAAAGCCGCATCGAAGAAGGGGTACGGGACAAGTGTGGTACCATTATCATGTTGAAGCATGCTTTAGATCTTTCGAAGGAGTGTCCCTTCGGACGCAGAACAAACGGTCAACGTCACAGAGAAGTGACAGCCATGCATTCATCAGTCATTTGTCATGGCCCTCCAAGAACTATTGAGTGACAATCAGTCATAATTTGCATGCCCACATCGATCGACGCAGCCAGCGCTTATTGCTCTTGTTGTCTCCACTCGATCCCCCGACGTCGTCAACAGCAACAACCACCCATCCAGCTGCCCTCCTCCTCTGAAACCCGTCCTCACCGTATATACCGCTAGGCAATTCTTACCTGTCGCAACTTGTCGGATTCAACAACCACGCCTGAGTTGACGAAATTGCTTCCGAAATTGTGCCGCTCGAGTTCAAAACACCACCGACAGGTTTCTTTGACTGATTGCGTCCATAGCTTCCTGGCGACCATACCGGTAGCGACCGAAGCATAAGGTATACTTGTACAACATGAGTGAAAGCACAAGCGATATTCTCCTCAAACGGGCCGAATTGGAAGCTCGACAAAACCAACTTGATCAGGAAATCGCTGCCGCCAAGGAGGGAGATGAAGTGAACAAGAAAATGAAGGCCAAGAAGAACCGACCGAGGTCTCATTCTCCTTCCCATGTAGCAAGAGGAAAGCCAACAAAATCAAAAGGACAACAAGCCAGTGCTCAAACTGAAGTCATCAACCAAGAGGACCGAGAAATAATGAAGATTGTTGCCGAACAAGCTACTTTGGCCACGGTGGAGCAACTAGAGGAAGAAAACCACAAGGAAGAAATCCACGAACTTCTCCAAATGGCAGCCGAAATCAATGAGGTTGCCAAATTGGAAAAGATAGCAAACAACAACTCAGGAGTGGAAAGAGAACAGCCCACAACCACTCAAGAGATGATGAATCCTCCGGGTTTGAGACGAACACCACCACACCAACAGAGACAGCAACAGCAACAGCGCCCCGGAGCATACAGGGGTGCTCCAGGGGAAGCTCCTCAACGTTCCAGCTCCCTCAGATTCTCACTTGTTGGTTCCAATATCGAGTCCCAGTTACCGATGATGGAATCTGAGAGTCAATCCTTGGAACCACTACCCCCTGACAGCAACAGAAACAGTGATGCGACCACAAGTAATAATGGCCAACTGGCAGTGGCAGAGCTGGTTGACGAAGATCCAGAGGAGCAAGCAAGGCCATCAGCAGATCCTGTGAATCTTGATGAGGTCATGGAAAAGGAACAAAGAAGGAAGAGGCAGAGATTGCTGTTTGTTGGGTTTTCAGTTTTGGCACTTATCGTTGCCGCAATTGTTGTTGGCACAGTGGTTAGAAAAGCACAGAATCAAAAAGATGCAATCAGCATCCAGACATCTGCACCAACTACTTATGGCTCTCTGGAACCCTCGGAAGCTCCATCCTCTGCCCCCACCAGCCAATTGGATTTTGTCTTTACAGAGCTTCCAAGATCTACGCAGGCACGTATTCTGAATGGAAGCAACCATCAATACCAAGCATGGGATTGGCTGTCAAATCACAAGAATCTCACTAGTCTGGAAGACTGGAGGATGAAACAACTCTTTGCTTTGGCCACATTCTACTATGCCTTTGAGGGGCCCAACTGGCCTGCTGACATCAGGAATGATTGGATGAAGGATGAGGGCAAGTTTGAGGATGAGTGCCTATGGTTCTCCAATGAGTTTGGGTTACTTTTCCCCGACGGCTATTACAAGGAGCGCAGGACATCATTTGAGGTTGAGCCATGCAACTCGGACAGAAGATTTCAAAGCCTTGCACTCGCAAACTTGCAGCTTAGTGGTTTAACCCCAACTATTCCACCTGAGATAGAGCTTCTCACTGACTTGGTGGTCTTGGCGTTGCCCTTGAATGACATCAGTGGTTCTTTTGATGACATCTTGCCATCTGAGCTGTTCACCAAACAATTGAAGGCACTGAATCTTCACACCAATGAACTCACAGGGAAACTGCCAACTGAAATTGGTCTGCTGACAAGTTTGACAGATCTGACTCTTAGTATGAACTCCTTCTCTGGGAGTTTGGCAACCGAGCTTTTGCTTCTGAAAAACATGGAGAGATTCTTCATTCAAGAGAATTCATTCTCAGGTTCCTTGCCAAGTGAGCTTGCACTGATGTCCAACATGAAAATACTTGCCTTCAAGCAGAATGGCTTCATAAGTACCATACCTACTGAGCTTGGGGCTTTGGACAGCATCGAGGTGTTATCTATTGATTACAATGCAATCACTGGCTTTCTTCCAACTGAGCTTGGTCTTATGACCAGCTTGACTGAACTGTATGTTTATGACAACTCTCTCAATGGCACAATACCGTCTGAGCTAGGAAGGCTAACCAGGTTGGAAGATTTGAGGATATATCAAAATGCCTTTAGTGGCTCTTTGCCAAGTGAGATTGGGCTGATGACAAGCCTGACTGGCTTCCAGCCTGCCGAAAACTCTCTGACTAGTACCATCCCTTCTGAGCTGGGAAGACTGACCAGCTTGGAAAAACTGTACTTGTTTCAGAATGATTTCACAGGTTTTTTGCCGAGTGAGCTTGGTCTTATGACCAGTATGACTGATTTTCAGCCTTCTGTGAATTCCTTCAGTGGTACCCTTCCATCTGAGCTGGCAAGGATGACCGGCCTGAAAAGAATGTCCCTATATCGTAATGCATTCTTGAGCCCTTTACCAAGCCAGCTAGGACAGATGACCACCATGACAAAGCTGCAGATTTATGGGAACTCTTTCAATGAGAGCATACCATCTGAGCTTGGAAGGTTGAAGAACCTGGAAGAACTATCCCTTTATGAGAATTCCTTCACAGGATCTCTTCCAACTGAGCTTGGGCTGATGTCCAGCATGACTGAGCTTGATGTCCATGCGAACTCTCTCAGCGGCAGGTTGCCATCTGAGCTCGGAAGTTTGAATAAATTGGAAAAACTGCACATACATGAGAATGCTTTCACAGGATCTCTGCCAAGTGAACTTGGACTGTTGAGTCATTTGAAGCAAATGTACATTTATGACAATGCATGTGCTGCGTCTTTGCCGAGTGAAATTGGGATGTTGACACAACTGGAAAGGATGTACCTTCATCTTAATGCACTCACTGGAACGTTGCCGAGTGAGTTTGGTCTCCTGATCAACATGAAGGATTGTCTTGCCTTTCACAACTACTTAAATGGCAGCATACCATCTGAGATCGGAGGACTAACAAGTTTAGCGAGGCTGCACCTTTGGGAGAATGACTTCACTGGTACCTTACCAAGCGACATTGGGCTCATGACACGCATGACTGATTTCCAGCCTGCCCTGAATGCTTTTGGTGGCCCCATCCCATCTGAGCTTGGGCTTTTGACAAGAATGGAAAACCTGCGAATTTTCCACAATGCGTTCCAAGGATCTTTACCAACCGAGCTTGGGCTGATGACAAGCATGATAGAGTTTTATGCTTATGAAAGCTCCCTCAGTGGAACCCTACCATCAGAGCTGGGCAGGCTGACCAGTTTAGAACACATGGAAATTCACGAAAATGCTTTCACAGGCACTTTGCCAACAGAGCTTGGACTGATGACCAGCATGATTGAGCTTGATGTTCATGAGAACTCTCTCAGTGGCATTTTTCCATCTGAGCTAGGATGGTTGAAAAGCTTGGAAGGACTCTTCCTTTGGGAGAATGAGTTCACTGGTACCTTACCAACCGAGCTTGGGCTGATGTCCAGCATGACTGGTTTTCTTGCCTCCAGCAACTCTTTGAATGGTGGCATACCATCTGAGGCCGGAGGATTGGCTGGCTTGGCAAGGCTGTACCTTTGGGGGAATGAGTTCACTGGCACTTTGCCAACTGAACTTGGGCTCTTGACACGCATGACTGATTTCCAGCCTGCCCTGAATGCTTTTGGCGGACCCATCCCATCTGAGCTTGGGCTTTTGACAAGCTTGGCAGACCTACGAATTTTCCACAATGCGTTCCAAGGATCTTTACCAACCGAGCTTGGGCTGATGACAAGCATGATAGAGTTTTATGCTTATGAAAGCTCCCTCAGTGGAACCCTTCCATCAGAGCTGGGAAAGCTGACCAGTTTAGAACACATGGAAATTCACGAAAATGCTTTCACGGGCCCTTTGCCAACAGAGCTTGGACTGATGACCAGCATGACTGAGCTAGATCTGCAGGAGAATTCTCTCAGTGGCAGTTTTCCATCTGAGCTGGGAAGATTGACTCAATTGGAAACAATGTATCTTTCTGACAATGCCTTCACAGCTTGCCTGCCAAGTGAAGTTGGGATGTTAGCTCAATTGACACGAATGTACCTTGATGACAATTCCTTCACATGTCCTCTGCCAACTGAACTTGGAATGTTAAGTCAATTGGAACGAATGTACTTCCATCGAAATGCATTCACTGGCACTTTGCCAGGTGAACTTGGCCTAGCAACAAGCATGGAAAGAATGTACCTGTATCTGAATGTACTCACTGGCACTTTGCCAAGTGAGCTTGGCCTAGCAACCAGCATCGAAAGAATGTCTCTTTATGAGAATTCCTTCACAGGATTCTTCCCATCCGAGTTTGGAAGACTGACCAGCATGACTAGGATGAGTCTTCGAAGCAATTCACTTTCTGGTTCCCTGCCAACTGAAGCTGGGTTGCTGACTCAAATGACATTGCTAAGCCTGAGAAGCAATGCATTTGGTGGAGCCTTGCCCAGTGAAGTTGGACTGCTGACACAACTATCTGGTCTGTTTCTTAACGACTGTTTCTTCTCTGGTGCCATTCCCAGTGAAATTGGGCTGATGGAATCCCTGCGGATGCTGCACCTTCACAACAATTCCTTAGTTGGTTCGATCATCTCCGAATTGGGGCAGCTTGGAAACCTACAAGAACTGGATCTTTCAGCGATTCCACCCTCACTGAGAGGACCGTTTCCTTTTGATTCCTTGCCTGGTAGCCTAGGCTATCTGAACATCTCTGGCAGTCCTGGTTTGGTAGGTTCCATTCCAGAAGAGCTCTGTTTCCTTCAAAAATCCTCTTGCTCTTATGGCGAGGACAATGATCAGTGCTACATTGACTTTGATTGTTCCAACCTACTCTGTGGATGTGATTGTGAATGTTGAGTGGTTGGAGTAGAAATATTTCAATAAATCTATCTGTCTGTACTCTGCATTGCTTTAAGAAGAGTTGGAACTAAAGACTATCTAGCTTTCTAAGGTTCTAAAACTCTACCCAGAGTGGTACCACCAAGTTGATGAATGGCTGTCACTGACTCTTTTGTGGCGGGTTCCAGGTTTCATTGCTGCCAGCAAAACACAGTTTTCCTACTCTCAAATGATGTTCTTTATGCAGACCCGCATCTCTATTGCCCTTGTGAAAGCGACCTATTAATGTCGCCGTGGCTCCCACAAAGCCAAGCCCTTTGGCCCCCGAAATGGTCCTCAATTTCTTGCCCCAAATCCCACAGAACCCAGCCCTGAATTTCGCCTGTTCTTTGCTTCAGCCTGGCCCGGCTGGCTTCTGTAGAAAATCTACCTACTCTAACCCCCCTTTACATCTTCCAAAGAGACAAATATTCCACCTTGCGCTTCCAGGTATAATCTAAAAAGCTCCACGTGGAATTGGAATGGCACCTCCCGAGATTCGAGCTCTGATGCTTCTGTTGCTGCCCGTCACAAACACTAAGAGCAGACGTTACCTAGTGGCGTTCCTTTCACGTAATTCCCTCTATAGTTTATTTATTTATTTATTTATTTATTTACTAAGAATCCAAAACAGGTCAACGCAAAGCTAAGAGTGGATAGCTCACCAGAATTTTCCCAAGGTGAAATTACATGTTGACGCCTGGAGAAAATGCACTGGTTTTAGCCCACTCTTTATTTATATGCCATCGAGAGAACAAGTGAGTTTTTTATGGGGTTTTGTCTGAGAGTTGCAGGAAAACGCATTCCACGGTGTTCCAAGTCGATTTGCGCTACCGGTCCATACAAGATAACGAACCATCTGTTCGACCATGACAACAGACAACAAGCTACCGCTACGGCACTGCATTATTAATTATTTGGTTGGTTACAAGAGCACTCAACAGATTGCTCCTAGTAGAATGGTTGATTGTTTGAATTTTCCACAGTTTGCCAAGGTGTTGTTGTGTCTAGAGTTAAGGTGTTCAAAGCTGCTTTTTGATGAGTGGCTGTCGCTCGGTCTTCTGCTTTTGGTGCATGGTCAAAATACCCGTGGAACCTGGTACCACTGTATGTCTGCAACCCATCCTCACCACGGTCCTCTCTAACTAAAAATAAAAAACAAATACTATATAGATACGGTAAGGAGCGAGGGGGGGCTAAACTAGGCAGAGCAGCGGCTGTACTGGGAGAGCAAAGAGGACGGGAGCAGGTCAAAACGGGGGGCGGGGGAAAGGGGAGGGTGCAATGAGGAAAGGGAGGAAGTAGAGGGAAAGTCAGAGGGGGAAGGGGGCAAGATTAGCGGAATAGTGCAATTGAGTGCACCATCGGCATCCCAGAGAGAACGGCGGTAGCTCATTGTGCCAGTGCAATACACGGCTCTTAGCCTTATTCGCGACTCGATCCTAGATAGGGTCTGAGTTCGACTCATGACTGAGTCTCTCGTGAATAGTCATTGAGCGAGACAGGGTTCTCAATGCCGCTCTAGTCATACTAGGTTGATGATGAAACATCGCTCTAGATATTTAGCCAGCGTGAGTACTTCCACGCTACTAGATAAATGCTAGACGAATCTTCCACGCGTTCCGTTTTTGGATCGTGGAGTGAGTAGGATTGCTACCGCAACCTACTCTATCACACTCTACAGTCTCCCGCGGGAGTTCAGATCTACGATCCTTTGATTGTGGATCTCTCTCGTTGATTAGTTTTCATAGCTTTCTAATCCTCTCATAACTTTCATTCTCTCAAACTCAAAACACTCGAAAGAATCTTTACAACGTTACTGGCGCAAGGCATTCCAACGTATTTCACGGTGGCCTGCACAGCTAGATTCGTAACTGCTCTTTGCAGAGCTAGAAGTCATCTCCTGAGGAGGTTATGTTTATCGGTAGGCGTACAATGGCGAGCCCAACGAAGACCTTCTCCATGCGTCCAGCCCATTGATGGTCTGACGTGGATCTCAGATCCATTGATGATTGGACCTTGAAGGTGTACTTGGCGCTGTTAGATCTGCTGGAACAGTGCGAAGTTTGTAGTGGTAGAGCGAGAATCGTCATTTCGCATTCATCGTCGAGTCGATGAGAGGAAGGATTGGTTTGTCGCGCAGCTTAGACTCGAAGCTGGTGTATGCGTCTTTGGCAATCTTCATGGTGAGGAATAGGTTGAGGGTAGCTGAAAGCTATTGTGTTTGTTAACAAAATGCACTACGCTAAAGGCTAG